GAGGTACCATCATCACAACAAAATTCAGGCTTGCGAGTCAAGAAGATTGCCTCGGAAACAGCGTCAGCATGAATCTTCCAGTAAAGCCAATTGACAGCTGGTCAAGAGGAATTCGCCGTCGTCCTCTGGTGGAACCGACCTTCGAATCTCTTCACTCGAAATGGAAGTAAGCCCAACGATTGGAATGTAAACATGCGAGAAATTGTGATAGGGCGCGAGTTGGACAAGAGGGTAAAGAATGTATAGATAGACCAGGACAGAAAGAGGTGTGATGGTGTAAGCGTTTTCGGCAGATTGACGAGTTCGTAGCTCGCCGCGGGGACTGGCAAAACTGACTGATGATGCCGACTACGACGCCGGCGCAACGTCTGCGAATGTACCAAGTTCCCGGTCCTACTCTCGAGATGATGATGCATGCAATGGACTTCGGACAAGGCGCGTTCCTCTCGGTATTCCTGCTAATAGGAGCGAGATGTGAAAACAAGGTCAAACCACGTCTCCACAACGAACCGACATCGCCAACATACAAAAGACCACACATGCTGGTCTTCATTTCTTTGCTGACCCAGTTAACTGGAATTCTTTTTCCATTATTTGCCGTAGTAAATCTGTTAACAGTGTATCATTTTAACCGGTAGCTCTGTCCGACCCGCCGTCTCTCTCTGAACGTAGGCTGATGCACTTTTCGCCCTCGCAACCAGTACATTTGTGGCACGACAAACCACCAATTTGGCTTGTATCAAATTGTACTCAAAACGAGGCTGTTAACAGACGACAACAGTCCACACGACGACTTGTATTTGTAAATAGTCAGCTTTTATGGAAGTGTTGTGATCCTCGTCTAAAATCTCATACCACATTTTAATTCTTCCCTAATCTCTCTCTCACTTTCTCTCTCTCTATCTCTCTCTCTCCATATATATGCATATCTATTTCATCGCACTTACTCTCCCTCAGTACATTCATACTCTCCCTTAATACATTCGCTAAATCGGGCAGACATGGACCGATCGGCCATCAGAAGTGAACACTTTTCATCTGCTTTCGTTTTCCTTTCGTCAGGACGGAGGCAGTCGTTAGCCCACACTGTCTCCTCCTGCATGTGGAGGCTAAAACCGCCTGAAATGGGGATGCCTCCAAAAGCTCTAATTGTCTGCATAGAATGTGACTGAGTTTGAATAAATATCCTCATCCGCCGGTATTGAGGGGACCTTCATTTCGCATGTGTAGGCGTCTGAGGGAAAGGTACGTCTGCTCATCTGCCATCATTTCATGTTACTATGACGTTCAAGTTGACACCGTCCACTAAGTTCCTGTTGAAGTGGGGTACAGTTTTCGTTTATTAGTGAGACCTTCATTTCGTATGAAAGTGCATGAATAAGAAGAGACACGCAGTTTGATGTCACCAGAAAAAGAAGGCTGAATCCCGTTGTACCGCAGCCATTTGGCTTTAATACGACTTTCTGGTGGCGGTCATAACTCAAAGTGATCAGAAAGGCCAATGTCAGGCTCTGGTCGTCAAGGCTTAATGACCGAAGAAAGA